TTTCTGCAAGTTTTATTTAAAGAGTCATTTTTAAAGACTCTTCATAAAGTGACCACCTCTATATAGTGACCATTTGACTTAGTCCCGAGGGTGGTCAATTTAGACAGGTTCCACTGTATTTGGACATGGAATGTGGTGGCAAAAGTGTTCTTTTTAGTACATATATGTTTAGCTAAATAATTTCAACTGCTTTGCGCCAAGAAACAACAATTATTGCGAAGCTGGGGAGCGTCAGCGAACAGCGGGTTTACTTATATTAAAGTTTACTTATTATAGTTTATTAAAGTTTCCTTTATTAAACGACTCTTATTAAACGATTAAACTACTTTTTACTCCTATTGAAGGAAACCCTGTTTGCCATTATAGCATGCTATATACATTGTACTTTTGTTTATTCATTTTTGTGCGTTTTTTTTATTTTTTTTTCTCTGTGTAAATTTATTATTAGTAGCTTTTATGTTACCATTATGGATCTAGGTAACTGAATTATTTTTGTATATTTTCTTATAATAATAATTAGAATATAATAATAAAAATAAAAAAATATTTACTGCAGATGCATCCCCTCAAATGTTATGTAAGCGGTCAATGGCGGTAGAGTACTTAAGAAGAATGCTTCGTAAAGACTTTAAAATCCTTTATTCGTCAAAAACTTCTTGCATTAAATGTGTAAATATGTGGAACAATATTAAATTTAGAAAATTGCAGAATGTGGAAATATGGGATTTCCTTATTTTTGGTTGCAAAAAAAAGGGTCCAAAATAAAATAAAAAACTCATTTACATTGTTTTTTAACAGCCCGATGCTACGAAATTTGATACAAGAACATGCTAAAACAATATGTTATGAAATAATAATCGAATCATTATCTTATATACGTACATAAAATGTGTTGTAATAACTTTCAAAAGAATGCAATGCATAAATTTTTTTTTTTACAAAAAATGTGACTTCTTTTACTCTCTCTATAGTACTAACAGTTTAGCAAATATAAAAGGGTTTCACTTCTTTATCACATGACTCTACTGTTTGACAAATGTTTTAAAGTAGTATTCTGTATTGATTGGTTTACAAATTGTTCGTCTTCTTAGAACCGATATATATCTTTCCAGTTTTCCATTTATCTTTTTTGAATTTAGTATGTCTGGTGCTTCTTTTTCCTTTTCATGGTCAATGACTTGAGATAACGAGCTTGGATATCGATTTTTTACAAAAGCTCTATTTTACGCGATTTGGCTGTTCAGAATGTATTTTGTTTAAAATAGTTTTTGGAAGCTCTGTCGCCAATGAAAATAAAAAAGCCACAGTTTAAGTACCTTACGCTTGAAGCAAAGCCATAATAATAAACTGTAAATGCCATATTGCTCAAAGAATTATTTGGGCTTCAGAACGGACAAATAACTGAAATATTTTAAGAGTTATTAAACTATTTTTAAAAATCGCCAACTTGGCGACATTTTCCCACCCAGATAAAAATTATCAAATTCACTGCCTTATTCTCTTTTTTTTACAGACTTTTATGAGCCTGGATAATGCAGCGTTGGAGTAAATTTTTAAATATTAAAAAATTTGACCAAACGCTTTTCATTTTCACAAAACTGTGGCTTTTCGCCGTATTGACGCTTTACGCCATTTTCAGAATAAACATAAAGTGCTCTGGCTAAAGATAGGCTTAACTTGACATAACAGTCATGAGTAGGACTGGGCGATGTTAAGATTTTGGCATCGCGATCTATCGTCAAGCTAACATCGCGATATTTTGATGTATCGCGATGTTTCGATACATTAATGTTTTGCATTTAATACTGCGGAAATTCGCAATTAATAAGTTGCATTTTTTATAATTATTTCTCAATATTTAAAGTAATCTGTAATATCTGCAAAATAGCGGTTAAAAAACACTAAACGGATGGATTGATTGTAAAAAAAAATCAACAGGATTTGCGCACACGCAGTTTAAATCAACAGGATTCAAATCAGCACAAAAAAAATCAACAGGATTTGCGAAAACCCTTCCGTAACTAAGAGATTCAACAACACTTCGGTTCTCAAACACATTCGGATTTATCATGTCAGCAAAACGATGTTTCACGATGTAAAAAAGACGGGGAAAGATAACGATCATCGCCACAGCTATCACTGCACACTTGCGGAGGAAAATGCTCTTCGCACGAGCTTGCAGACATCCATGAACTATCGGGAACAATGCTCAACATTGCGCATGTAGACATCGATGTCAACGATACATCGGGAAATATCGTGCACATCTCAGTAAATCACGATTTCCGATGCTTCGAAAAATTGCCAATCCAAACATCGGATGATTGCACAGAATCGATATTTTCCGATACATCGATTTATCGCCCAGTCCTAGTCATGGGTAACTGTTGCAAATTATTCTCAAAAAAGCATCATTTCATGTGATTACAGAGCCTTCAAAAAACAACAATATAGGGTTTTTTTTTGCGACCCGTATTCGTTTAATTGCAGTGGTTCCCGATTTTTTTTTTCGTTAATGGAACTTTAAATGATTAACCTTCTTTTGGCGGAGCCCCAAATTCATAAGTAAAGAAAGCAAAGACAATTGCGAATGTATTTACCAATTATAGACTTAATTTTCAAATCACTTTATTTTAAAATAATTTAATAAGGAAAATGAGGAGTAATCAATTTTTATGTACGGCAGCTAAATTCGAAGTTACCGAGTTGTATCTAGTCTTGTTATAAATTTGTTTCTGTAAAAAAAAAATTTAAAAACCAAACGAACTGCTTTAAACGTTAAAAAGCGTTAATAGGGAAACATATTTCATTTTTAACAAATTTGGCAGTTTTATTTTCATTTGAAAAACGCGATGGGAAATAATAAAGTTTTATAAATGCATTATCTTTTCATAATTTATTCACAGAGTATTTATATTTATAAAATAAATTGTTTATTTCTTTTTCATTGGTGTTTTACTTCAAATAATTTCATAAGGTTAACTGAAATATGATATAAATAATAGATTATTGATTGGATCTAACTATAATTAAAAAAAGGTTTCAAAAGTTACTGGTTAAAACAAATGTCCTAACTTTCGAAACCCGTATAACTATTCTCCGGAACCCGAAGGTTTTTCGGAACACCATTTGGGAAACGCTACGTTAAACAAATGCGATCGTAGTCCCATTTCAACCAGACTTCTTAACAGGTAAAACTATTTGTTTTAGAACTTTATGGCTACATAAATTTAACTAAACTACACAAATTTAAAGAAGCCATTTTTTTTTTCAATTTCACTTTACATTCATGTCTTTACTTGAATGACAAAAATGCCTTTTTGACAGGTTTATTATTTTTTTTGGAGTGATCTTTTCTCCCGCTGACTTTTTTTTTTTTTGTATAAAATTCAATTTCACAGCCGTTTTATTTTCTTACCCTAAGTAAGACATGCGTTTGTTCCATTGTGTCAAATATTTTGCACTTAGTACTAAAAAACAAGGTTGAGATTTTTTCTGGAATAATTCATTTCTTCCAGGGGCTCTATTACCGTCTTTATGGAATTGAATCGCTCTCGTGACGTCATAATTCCGCGAATATCAGTATTACGAACTCTTGATTCCGTTCGGATAAAGATTCCGAACTGAATTAATACGATTTTCATTCCGGCGAGTTGAACCATAGATGAAATCTATATTCCGGCAAGAGTTTATTTATTAGAGGTAAACATGTGTTATTTTCTATGATTCAATTAGCTATTGAAGAGCCTGATAGAAACACGATCAAGAAGAGGATTGATCGTGGTAAAAGGTTCTAAGTTTTAAATTCTGAAAATTACTTTAAAAGCCAATTTAGACTAAGCAAAAGCATTGAAAAAGCGTTGAGGTCACTTACATCACGCTGAAATGCTTTATTGGTTGAAACTGAAGTACATAATTTCGTTTTTTACAACTGAACACCAATAAACTTACAAGACTTACATTAGAGAAGAATTTTAAAGTTTTCCGTTTCAAGTCAGGATGATTATAGTTCGCATAAGAGAAAAGAAAACATACGCGCTTACCAGGTCAATTCTAATTTTTTAATTAGAATTAATCAGAATTATTCTAATTTTCTAATTGGTCGAGCTAGTCCCTCCTATTAACCTCACTTTTCTTGGAATTGTACAAAATTTCGATTTCGGAATCCGAGATGCTCATGTTGCGGAAAAGAGTGTTTTACGAAATGTGTAATCCGATGAAAGCCCGTTTCCGATCGGAATCGCTTCACAGCGGAATTAATTTCAGTTAGTTGATAATAAGCCACCTTTATACTGAAATAAACCGAGTGAAACTAGATGAAATGAACGAAAATAGAAATTCCGTTTCAATTGTACGATGATCATAATAGTTTAATTTTAAAATAAATAAAATTAAGTAAATAACATAATATTAAATTTTTCACATTTAATTTTTAAAAAAAAATATGTTTATTTTATTTATAAAAAAATTGCCAATAATTACTTATGTATAAATACTCAAACCAACTCTTAAGAAGTGTTATACAGATCAACTGTATCGTTCATCAGCGTGGTACGATGTTGAATAACATTTTATTTAAGTTTAATGAACATGTAAGATTTGAAGCAAAAACGGTAATATGGTAAAATTTGACACCTAATGCACACAATAAACATTTCTTTACTTAATAATAAAACTTTGTTAATAGTAAAACTTTGATGCAATATCCTTTTATCTATTGAAAATGTCAAAGAATATTATGTGGATTTTCAATGTAAAATTTTTAAATGAATTGATGATCATAATTGATGAATAATGAATTTATCATATATGATTTTAAATGATTTTTACATATTTTCATTTTACCTAGTAATTGATATTCTCATATATTTTACATTATTTGCTTTCTTTCCTTATTTCTATTGTCCACTTTTCACTCTCTGCCATACAATGAATAAATATATTTTTTGTTGCTTTTTGTTTCTGTGTTCCATGCACTAATACTTTGTTATCTCTTTTAGATTTCTGATGCTGTGACCTTATCTTTGTAATGTCTTCACCATGGCTAAAGTTATGGACCAACCTTTATCGGAAGAAGCGGGCAGTGATAATGAAGAAATTAACAAGCTGTTCCCCAGGTGTCGACCACGCAGCGTCGTCTCCAGTGATTACAACCAGAACAACATCAAAGATCACCACAGAAAGCTGTCGACAGCCAGCAGCGACAGCACTATGAGCAGTATTATGGACAAAGCTAACGACAACTATCTACCCCACAACAACCAGGATCATCAAGAAGTGCTGGGTAACAACCCTGCTTCAGATATGAGTGAAACGTCTTCCTGCTGTGGAGGGGATCAACCGCCACCCCCTCCTCCTGCCGAGGTGAATGAAGACCACTCGGTGATAAGCGCCTATGACTACTGTGATTACGACGGTGGACTACTGTGCACCACTACCTCTAATACGAACAACAAAGAAGAGGTGCGCAGCAATTCCACATCTTCCATGACGTGCGAACGGCGCGACTTCAACGATGATGTGGTCTACGATCATGAACTCGATGTTGGGTACCACATGGACCCAGGGTTTTGCCTTCGCGAAAGTCGCATCGAAATCGCTGGTGGCCGAGAGATATTCTCGAAGAGCCGTAGCAAGCCTTCAAAAAAGCGGCATGGTGACGATGTGACTTATCACCACCAACAACAACGTGTCTCCCATGACCACAGTCAAAGCAATAGCGTTGCTTCAAAATCCGAAGACTATAAGCGTTTCAGTGCCGACGTTATGTACGACGACAAGCTGCGACGTTATATGTACAATATGTGTTCTGGTTCCGTCGATAAACTGCACAATTGTGCCAAGTATCGGACTGAGTCGTCGTATATTATGGAAGAGAGAAGTCCTGAACATTTACCTAGTGTAAATGGACGCGTGTGCCTAAGGAAAAGTTCTTCAGTGCGCGGCTTACAAGACTTGCATTCGGATTCTAAACATTCTGGACATTTAGTGTATGAAGCGCCTGTGAACAATGCTGAAGTAGTGTACGATGACATCGGCGAACTGATGGATCAGAGAAAGAGTGATAATGTATCTACTAGTAACTGTTTCGGAAATATTAGTCGTAATGGATTGCATGTTAAAACCGCTTCGTGTGAGTCAGACTATTCCACATACAGTGGTAAGGTACTGGAATCTCCCAACAGTGATACTGACCAGTCATTTCGTATCATGCATAAACCGCACATCGGTACTTTAGATATCAGTTCACCGATATCACCATGTGGTGGGCTGTGGGGCATAGATGGTCTGCCTACACATAACGATAGTTTAACGAATTTAAGTCAAGAAGAGGAAATGGACACGGACTCAGAACCTTCTTCGCCTGTCAAGCAAGGAATTGCGCGACTTATTGGCAATGTTCCTATTGCTGAATATGAAGGTTCTCCTCGACGTTATGGTCCGCGTCCCGGCTATCCACACCGCGTAGCTTCGGACTGTGTTGAGGAAACGAACAATTCTGAAAAATCTCCTCATCCGTCTACCTGCGAGGAATTACTAAAAGTGATAGCGGGCAATAATAAAACCATGGTGAATGGCAGTCATAAAAATAATTCAAATCAGTGCAAAAATTCTAGTGAACTTTTCGATTGCAACAACCATGATACGGAAGCTCAGAACATTTTAAAAGAATTTTCCTGTAAAAGTGAAAGTGCGGACATTTCTGGTAAACTAGTTGCTCAGGACTCAGAATTTAGTGAATTAGACTATAGACTATATCGTGTGAATACTGGTAGTTCCTATGTCGGCCGTCGCCTTGCTCAGTCATCGGTTGGTGGTGAAAATGAGGACAGTCCTAAGCGTAACGAAATAGTGAAATTAGTAAATGGCGATTTGCCCCATGTGACTAAAATTTCAGCAACTACGCCAGACTGTTTGCCACCGCTTTGTGAGTCCGAAACCCCTTCTCCTACTGTTAAAGACGTTTTACCAAGTGCTACAGCTGGTTCTGCGCCTAGTGTGTTTTTGCCTAATGAGCAAGAACTTATGTTGCTGCACGAGAGCGTGCACCAGCATACGCTTCAGGTGGAGATGGTTGACCAAGATCTGGAATCCATCAGCACCTATCCTGGGACTGAAGATCTTGGCGAAACTGAAGTTGGCGAGCAGGTGGACCACACTCGAAACTTCACACTATCCCCCGAAACTACTGACTGTGATAGCAACGACGTGGAGAGCGTCGTTTCTCTGGAGGGCAGTATGAACTCAGGTGGCCGGCTCATGAGTAGTATGCCAGTTCTTGAAGATGGACTGTCCAGCGGACACAGTAGTGATCCGGATACTAGTGAGGACGAGTATTCGGATCGTGGCTGGTCGGATGGCCGTAAGAGGTCTTCCGATAACTTCGATAAATCGACTCTTGCCTTGATTAATAAGCAGATCAGTAAGATAGAACAGGAGTTTTGTAAGCGTCCACCTTCCAACAATATGGTGTCTTCGGAGAAAATGAATCATCACGATGTTGCGGATTATCTGTGGAGACATTCTTGTAATTCCCAACATCTACAAGATGTTGACCTTAGCTACTTTGATGTACTCAGTAAGTAAACATTTGTATTATTAACCCACTGGCGGTTAAGGAAATGGGCAAAATTGGGAGAATGTTTCTCCCCTACACACAGTTCCCCTATCAGTTAACATGGGAAAACCGGTTTTGCTATGCAGAGAAGACTGCAGGTTAAAATGCGACTTAAGTAATTCATTTTTTGCCAACTTTCTGAGGCATAGTTTAGCATTGATTCGTTGTTTAAAAGTTCTCGAAATATTGGATTTCGAACGTATACATTTTATGTATAGGTTAGACGATGAATGTGCGCAGGTTGCCAAGTTTACGAAGAAGTTAACCTGATGTGTTCTCTAATACAGCATGTTTCGTATTAACCGACCATTTTTTAATAAATCTATTTAATATCCTTAAAAAAGTTTAATTAAAAAAACTAAGCACGTTATGAGTTTCAAATTCATATTTAAGTGAGAAAGAACCAAAAAATATTCTAAACCCTACTCAATATCTATTGAGACTGAAGAGAGGGGAAAAAATTGGCGCTGCTCGCTTAAGCCTTTGACGCAGATGGAGACACCGATATCTCTTTTTTACATATATATTTTTTCTGATGCTCTAATTACCAGCATAGATATATTCTAGTATTTTTAAATTATAAAAAATAGTCTAGTAGCTACTAAAAATATCTGTTAGATTACCAGAATCATATTTGTACTAAAATATAAAATCCAAAAAATTTAGTTTAAATTTTTTTTCTCATTCCTATTTTAAAATTTTTGAGTAAATTGATTTTATAAAATAAAGAAATTTTAATCATGAATAATTGTTTTTTTTAGATCTAAATAACTGCAAATAAGTGCAACTTTGAAAAATTATTGTTTGGAAGTGAACCGTGTTAGAAAGATTTTATCTTGAAGGCAGAAAATAGCACCTGGGTTTCATTGCTGTATTTCTTAACTATAAATTATTAAAATGCTAAATAAATTAGTATTAACTTATTTTGATCTAAATTAATACAAAACAATGAAAAAAAGTATAAAAAAATAGGTGTAATAAAAATTTTTGCGTCAAAAGAGTAAGGGGAAAATATCAAACGGGGGGGGGGNGGGGGGGGGAGACGGAGGGATAAAATGCTAAATATACTTTCAGAAATCTTTATTTAATTTCCACAAATAGATCAGGGTGGCCACAAAAGCAGGGAAAATTGGGGTAATTTTTATCAATCTTGAAAAAATCAAGAACCCAAAGAGACTGGAAAAATGAATTAATTTCAGTTAGTTCAATATTTTTTACATTATTATACATAGTATAATAATGTTACGTATAATAATATTATGTTTAATAATACAACGTATGATAATATTGTGTATAATATGTATAAAAAAATATTAACTACAATAAAAAGAGTTTTGTTGTAATTTTCCATATTGTTGCTTTTGCTTATTATTCATGCAATATATTTAAAAATAAATACATTAGCTGTTTTATTATTTATTATCTTATGAAGATGTTTATATTGGGATAAAGTAAAGATGCAATAATAATTTTGCTTTGGATAAAGCTTTGATATCCTATTCTTTCTGCTCTTTGATCAAGATGCTCCTTCAAGAAAATGGTAAGTTTAAAGGGTTCCCGAAATGTTGAATACTCATGATATACACAAAATTACTCGTCGAGGTCATCGCGTGTAGCATTTTGTTTTATTTTTAGCATATTTGGCTTTAAGTTTTTCGTTAAACAGATTATTCAAATGCGGTCTTAACATAATTTTGCTTTGTACTGTTGGATGTTGTAATTTTTATTTGTTATCGTTTTAGGTCAAAAGCCTAGTGAAACGAGTCCCAGGTTGCAGAACAATGGTGTCCATGAGGATTGCCCGAATGAGAAGTCTGGCAATGTCTCTGATGCCATCAAAGAGATCAAACAGGCCATCCAGATGAGTAAAAATATTCAGCTCAAAAGCACCCATAGTGGCAATAACTGTGATGGTCCCAACCAACCTGTTTGGGTTCCCAGGTGAGCTATATTCATGTTCTTTTTTTCTGAGTGTTTAACTCTGCCTAAGCAAAGACACCTAGTTCTCATTATGTGAAAAAAAATTCCTAGTTAATTATAAAAATAATTAACATTTTGAAAAAAATATTTTCTTGAAAAAGGTTTACGTCGTGTGCATGAAGGGGTAGGAAGTTTTGCTTATTGTTTACGCTGATAATTAATGAAGGTGGCAGGAAGATGCGAAATCACCATAAATGTATTTTTGTAATATTTCAACGGCCTTATTGCATTCTTATCATTACCAAAATTTCGTTAATTTTTGATTGGATATTATTGTTGATATATAGCTGAATCGTCTCCAGACATTTTCCCCTGTGACAGTTTACAATAGGGGCTACTCTTATTTTTGGTGATTTTTTGAAGCCTAAGTCGATACCAAAAAGCAATAGATCTTTGGGTTAAAGTGCAGAATCGGGGGCCCTCTGATATTTGGCGATTTGAAAGCATACCTCTGTATATATAAGTAATAATATGCTTTCAAAGACTAGATAATTCAAGAGACTCTGGCTAATTCAAATAAATAGGCATCTTATTAATTTATAAAAGGTTTATTTAACAGTTTACATTGGATTTTTCCATGGATGACACTGATGAGTTCCCATAGCAGGAATGTTTAGAGTTGTCACAGATTTATCTAGCCATAAAAATATGAAAAAGCCACGCATTTCGATGGCTGTATAAACAGGGATTCTGAAAGGGAATTGGTTACAAGAATATCCTTAACTTAATCAAACCTCATTTAAACTGGGAAATTTTGATATGTTCCAAAAATGACGCCATTCAGACAGTAGGGAATTTTTGGGATTTTCTTAACGCGTATTTTTCTAAGAATTATTACCCATTGACTTCAGAAAATAATCTTTTAATCGGCATCTTGACTTTTTATGGCTCTTTGTGAAAGAACGATTTCTACGTTTTAAAATTGATAAGAGAAATCTATTTTAAGCTTATGATTTAATATCGAAAGACTCGTATTAGGTATTCTCTCTCTGTATATATATATATATACACACACAAGGGGTGTTCAAATGAAAAGGTACGAAACGACACGGTGGGTAAAAATGTAGACTTTATTCAAAATATATACCATAGGCCTGTGCACAGCGATCCCACTGATGAACAAGCCGCAGGATTCCTTGTTCCCAGAATTCCTGTTGTCTTGACGAGACCCAGTCCTTCACAGCGTCCTTGAGTATGTCGTCCGAGTTGAAGAGCTTCCCTTTCAGGTGAACCAAACACATTGAAATCGCAGGGCCACTAGTCCGGATTGTAGGGCGGATGGTCCAACGTCTCCCGCTTGAACTTGGCCAGTTCCATGTGTGTGACTCTGGAGACGTGTGGACGCGCTTTATCATGGAGCAGAACCACACCCTCCGTGAGCAGACCCGGTCTTTTGTTCTTGATGGACCTGCGTAGGCGTCAGAGTGTCTCACAGTACACATCGGAGTTAATGGATTTTCTGTGCGCTCGAGGAAATCGGATAACACCTCGCTGCTCCTCAATTGTCGAATTTTGCAACGCAAACGCCATCCAGTCCTCATACGGACTGCCGCATCATTAGGTCGCCGCATTTGATAAGAGCCTCTGCTCTCTCCTGCTCATGTGGGCACCAGCGCATGATCCGATCCCAGTCAGAGATTCCAATCGCATCCCGAGATGTCTCGCTACGTTCTCCCTTAGCGGAATATGCAAATATTTAACTGTTACGTTTTTACGTCGTTTCGTACCTTTTCATTTGATCACCCCTTGTATGTATGTGAAAATAAACCAAGAACCAATCACATAACGGTAAATAGAAATTGTGGTAATCCGATGCTGACTTCATTAAAAACAGAGACAGCAAGAAAAAAATATCATGGTAGCCAGAAACGGGGTTTCAGCAAAAATACACAATTGAAATTTATCGCCAAACCAAGGGGCCCCCTGATTCTACACTAGAAGCTTTTTTCCTTGCTGGAAGAGTTTTTAAACAACTATCTAACAATCAAACATAACATAATTGAATATGATGACTAAATGGGAGATATCTTTATATAAGTTTTATGCTTTGCTATATGATTGGAACTAACTGCGACAGTTAAATGGTACAGCGAGATAACGCCGTTATCTCTGTTTTTTAGATTCTTTTGCCAAGGAAAATAATAAAGTAACAGTTTAAGTGCTTTACTCTTGAAGCAATGCGACGATTTTAAACTATAGAATTATCTGGGCTTAGAACAGACAAATAGCTTAAATATTTAAAAGTTATTAAGTTTTTTTGAAAATCGCCAATTTGGCAACATTTTTACACCTTGATGAAAATTGTCAAAATCACTCATGTATTCTCAGTTTTTGCAAATGTTTATGAGCCTAGGTAAGGTAACATTGAAGTAAGTTTTTAAATATTGAAAAATTAGACCACAAACGCATTTCATTTTCACTAAACTGTGACTTTTCTCTATATTGACATTTTGCTCCATTTTCAAAATAAGCGTAGACATCGCCGACTTTAGAGAAGCTTAACTTTACTTAACAGTCATGAGTAACAGTTATAAAAATAGCATATTATTCGCAAAAAAAAAAAACATTTCATATTACGACAGAGCCTTCGAAAAACAACGTTACACTTAAAAGCATTGCATATAAGACGGCATGTGATATTCTTCCACTATATAAAATAATATTTTCATTAAAAACTTTATAATCTTGTTAAAAGGAGGAAGCCACAAAAATCTATAGAGTAATAGTAGTAATTATGGAGAATTTAATGAGAAAGAACATGAACTCCTTTAAAATTATATCAATAGAAATTTTTTTTAAAAAAAATGTGCGCTTGTGGAAATAAAAAGAGTGACCAGTTTCGTTTACTTACTGGCATGCTATACTTTTTTTATTCTTGTCCTTATTTAATTTCCTCTTTTATTTGCCTATTCCACATTTCTGTCTTTTTATTCATTAAAGTTACAATAAAATTATTTATATACTTGAAAACTACATAAAATTTCCTGTCAGTATGTTATTTCAATTCCATAACTATTTTTTTTTTAATCGGATTTAAATATTTTTTAATTTTTTTCCTTTCACAAGTGTTTAATCGCAAGCAGACTTCAAAAGAAAGATTTTCCTTATTATTGACTTACGCATTGTATATATTAGCGCTGCATTCTTGAGCAAACATTTCATTCTTATGGTTTGGCACTTCTTTTTATATAATCCAATTGCCAACTCTGCTGGATTTTCCAGTAAACTACTGGATGTTGTCTGTTTCTCCTGGTCTACTGGTTTAATAAAAAATTCTACTGATTTTTGTACATTTTAGAAAATTCCCTAAAAGAGTGTTAGTTTTCTAAAAAAAAAAAAAAAAAAAAAAAAAATCCCTATTGAAATAGAATTTTTGCATCAGCTTAAAAATTTTTCTGCTCTAAAATGTTCAGTTTATTATTTTTTTTCAGAACTCCGTTTTTAAATTAATTAAGAACTCTTTTAAATTATCTTTGACGAATTAAATGCATATTACTATTCAAAATTATAAGTATTCATAGTACATAACATTTCAAGTTTATTTAATATCAATCATAACCGGAAAATATTGCAGTTTTTCTATTTTGATGGCAAATATTGCAATTTTTTTTCTATTTTTCCTAAAATAATTCCCCGTGTGTAAAATATTTAGTACATTATGCGAAAATTATCATGAAATTTATATTCGTAAAATCTACTGGATTTTTTCCTATCCATATTGACAGTTATGGTTATGCTACTAATAGTGATTGCAAAATAGGTTCTCAAGCTTTCTATAGTTGGTAATTTTTCAAATAAAATGTTATATTCATAATAAGTGCATTCAACAAGAATTGTTTTTAATATTAAATAGTTGCCAAATTTAGCGATAAAATAGTAAATTAAAAGCGTTATTTGGTAAAATCATTGATGTATATGGTAAAATGATTGATGTATATTTATATCTTGGAATCACATGTTGTTCCTTTAAATTTTAAAGCAATAGCTAGCTTAAAGTAATGCTGTCAATTATATTTTAATCGAATATTTTACTTAAATAACGGATCGTTACATTTAAATTATTCATAAATTTGATTCACATTTCCAAATTTTTGATCTGAAGCAAAAAAGTCTTCAAATCAAAAATTCTGCAAAAAACACCAACTGCGAAAGCTAGTCTGCAAAAAAAGCCACCTTCTGTACATTTGAGTGTCTTTATTGTTGTCATTAAAAATATATATGCTTTATATATACGCTTTATTACATAAGTGCATATATTACATCAGTGCATTTTTTCCACCTTTGTATTTTATTAGAAATTTTTAAGAGCAAATATGGCTAGTAAGATTCTTCTTTAGAGATATTCTTCAAATTCCAGGATATAACATGTCAAATTTCCCTTAGTTACTTTGAAACGATAGCCATAATTTTAGGCCGTTTTTTACCCCTTGTTTGTTCAAGTTTTCTGCAACGTATCATTTATTTGCGCTTTAGAAAAATTAAGTGGCGCGTAATCGGAGCTTTAATAACATCCAATCATGTGGATGCAATGAAGTTTAATTAGATGGATAAGAAGTTCTTCTAGTTGAGCTAAAATGAATATTCATGTAGGGGTGGACCCTTTAGTTTTCTCACAAAATCTCGGTACGGGGGCAATTCATGAAAAGCGAGCGTGTTTACTCACTGGATTATAATATTCATTCTATGCTACTAATGAAATGTGAAGATCGAAGATCTATATATTTTTACTTATTTTAACTTGTAAGTTGGAAATACATATTCACCAAATTATTGTATTAGTTGGATTTTCCTCTCTAATTTCAACTTAGTAGTGTCATTATTAAAGAAATAGTATTTTCAGAAGTCTGGGATTATTTTTACAGTGTTAATGTATACATAGGTGGCAAAAAAGGACTACCAGCTGAATAACTCTTGATCTAATGATTGGATCTTCACGTTCTAGGACTCGATCTTAATGTTTTGACGGAATGACTTTTTTAAAATTCGATTTCTCAGAAACTATTCGACAGATTTTGCTCAAATTTTGTATTTTGTCTAGTGCAATTGCAATCTTTAATATGATGTAAAAATAGTTTACCTTAGAATTCGAAATTTTTTGACTAACTTAACTTTTGACTAATTTTTTTAAAAATTAGGCGAAATTTTTTCGCCTAGATGAAAATTAGCAAAATTACTGCCTTATTCTCAGTTTTCGTTAATTTTTTATGAGCCTTGATAATGCAGCATTGGAGTAGGTTTTTAAATTTTAAAAAATTAGACCAAAAACGCTTTTTATTTCCACAAAAGTGTGGCTTTTCCCCATATTGGCGTTTTGCGCCCTTTTCAGAATAAGCAAAGACAGCACTGGCTTTAGATAGGCTAAGCTTTACTTCACCGTCCTGAGTGACAGTTGCAAATCCATAACAGTTATGAAAATAGCATATTATTCGCAAAAAGCATAATTTCATTTGACGACGGAGTCTTCGAAAAACAGCCTTACCCGCGTTTTAAAACCCAGATAATTCTTAACGGGAAAATGGTATGGTTTAAAATTATGCTTTGCTTTCAGCGTAATGCACTTAAATAAACTGTTTATTTATTTTATTTTCCTTGGAGACAGAGATGTGATAAACGTTGTTTATGAATTTCATTTAAGTGGAAAAATCTTGGCAAATTACTGATATATATATATATATATATATATATGGCATAAATCGGCTTTCATAATTTCTCCAATCGTCAGTACAGATTATTCAATCTATNTATAATACTGAAATGTTTAATATATATAATATTAAACATTTCAGCTATTTGTCCGTTCTAATGCCCAGTTAATTCTTTACGACAATATAACATACATAGTTTTAAATTATAGTTTAACTTTAAATATAATATAAGGCACGTAAATTGTGTGTGTGTGTGTTTTTTCTATGCTGAAAAATCTTTCAATAAAACTTCCAACGATGCCTGAAAAAAAAAATCATTCGCACTAAAGTATATCTGCAAATAATTAACTAGTTTCGCACTTTCAGCGTTTTTATTATTACCAATAAAAATTATAGCTGTATATTTTTTGAACAGTTTCGTGGAAACAAAATTTGCAGTTTTTTTTTAAAACGAAAATTGTATAAAAGAAAATTAATATGAAGAAATGTACGATAAAAAAGTATAGTAGAGGTAAAATCGTAGTAAAAAGTTACCTTTCGAACATTATTTTTTATCGATTACGATGTATGATATAACAATTTTTATAGGCATTGGCGTCATTTTTATCTCCAAAAAATTCTGCGAATGAATTCTTTATTTTCCTTAAATCTTTTCTTCGGATTTCCCCTATCGATAGAGCTGATGACGTTCACCCAGTTGGCTTTTGTCCATCATTTCAGTTTAAGGCTGAAGTGTTCTGCTGGCTATGTTCCATAATATCTCGATTACTTGGCTGTCTGGAACATTTTTGCAAATCTTAAACGCTTCCGTCTCTCTCTGTGTTTAACAGAATTACTGTACTCTGTAGGCATTTATTATCTGGTAAATTTGCACAAATGCAGATGTGTAATTTTGATCGTGATGAACTTGAGCACATTAAAGCGGTTAAAATGAGAAATAAATTGTTTCTATATTTTATTTTTAGGAGAGATAGAGGGATTTTTTTTAACCCATTGCCATTTGATTTTTAGGGAATTTTTTAAAAATTTTTTCGTCTGTTTTTGTTAAGGACATATCTTTCATAGAGTGACGTCAAAAATGTTATAACAATTAAAGGTAGTAATATTTTTTGTTATCAAATTTCTAAACTTATAATGTAGCTGGTATTTCGTACTTAGTCTTTCAAAGTACCTAGTATTGTAAAGAAATGCACCTTAGTTATCAACTAATACATTTTGTAAAATCAGCGATTATATGTCGTGTACACCACTTAAACTAAAAAAAAAGAAGAAAAAACTGAAAACATACAAAAAATTATAAAAAAAAAATTACAATTAATTAAAAAATTACGATAAATAAAATACTATTAATTGGAATTTGCATAATTGATAAACTAATAGGGTATACTAATTATGAATCCCTTCCTCTACACCCATGCGTCCGGCTAACATTGTTTGCGAGATCGTGATCTTATTTGAAAATTATACTGGATGGTCACAAGAATTGCTTTGAGCGCAGTTCACTAACCCTTCTCAAGGGGGCATAAGATCTTAGAAGCGCAGTTCACTAGGTGTTAGAAAACCATTAGCGCAATCGGCTATCACCGATACACTGGACAAGAACCCATCAAGTTTTTATTAAAATGAAAGATGCGGATGAAACGGATTTACCACACCAAAGCTGGAGTGAGAAAATGAAAATTAATTATATGTAAAAGTAAAATAAAAAAAATTGTATAACAATATTAGTTCTTTTCATTCTTTTTTTATTTTTCCGAGTCATAATTATATTTTATTAAAAAAGAGTTAACCACAATCGCTGTGCAATCAGTATATGAGTTGTAATTGCTATGCTGGGTCTTTTTAAACTAGCATTTTGAAAGGCATGCAGTTGTTGAAGAAAGTAAATAATTCTAATATTAATACTTAGTCACTCCATCAATCCTTAATTTTTGTTTTCGTCAAGTATACTTTCTAGCTCCGCTTGAATTTTTTGTCTTGAGAAGGTATTGGAAGGTTTATTTCTTTTTTAAATAATTAACGTACGTTTTATTGTTAAGAAAGCATCATAACCGAATCCCTTCCTTATACAGTACAAGCCGGATTTTTTAGAGCTGTTTAAATTCAGTGATTCGGTTATTGTGTAAAAGAGGCGAAACTTTTGTTGTTGGCTTCATAGATATTGTGTCTGTGTCACTAATCTCTAAAATAAAATTATGGAAATATGGTATATTTTATAATATTAACTATAGCTGATTAAAAATCAACTAGAAAATAACTATTGTGTTAAAAAATGAAATTAATTAATCAAATTCCAATTGCATAATTCCTTTTTTCTTTTTTGTTTCATTAACCCCTTCCTTCTCGCTCCCGTGAAAATGACGGGGTGAGGTTTCACCCTCTATTTCTCGCTCCCGTGATACTTCCGGGCTGGAGTGTTCAGTAGTAAAGCGCCAATAAGAATAAAACTAATTCATCTCTTTCGGCCGGAAAACATTTTATTTCTAATTTTACACATCAGATGGCAGTACCCGGATATTTTTAAGGTAATTGTAGATAGTTAGTTTATTTTAAACTAGATATCAGCACTAATCAAATACGTGTATTTGTGATATGTGAAAAAATAGGCGCTTTTATGACCATTTTCTTGAAAATTAACCGATCGTTAGGTGTTTAATGTAATTTTTATCTTTCTAGAATTTTTTTTCTCTGTTGTTTTGATATGTGTTTTTTTTGATAAATAATTGCAGATGCTTTCAATATGTTTTGATTTTTCTTATTTTTGTAGGTTATCTCAATCTAGTAAAACTAAAGATGGATGTCACACAGATGGCCATACCGAAAGGAACCCAGAAGATGGTATGTTAATCTTGTTTCGATTATTGCCTTCGTTATAACTTAAGTGAAAGGTGATGTGTTGTGATAGTGAACCGCACAGAACTTAAGTTAAAATGAATACATCTCGTACTAATTAGTCAAAAAATTTTCAAGAATTTGACTAATAAAAAATTTCAAAACTTCAAATGGCGATATTATGATGATAAATTCCATGAAGTGGTCCAGAAAACTATTAATACTTGCATTTTCAACAGGCACCTGGTGTCAGAAGATTAGAGCACTTTAGTTAGTCGTAAATTGAACGGAATTTGAGTGGCGATAAATTTTATTCGGCATTTCATGACGATAAATTTTTCTCGTAGAGGTCAGAAAACAATTAAAACTTGCAATGTTGTCAAACATGAATTTTAGTAAAGATTTGAGCTCTTTATGTAACCAGAAAGGGGCAAAAATGTGGATTACATTTTCACATACTCAAAAGCGAGTATTGAGTGACTAAAAACACAATGAAAATTTTATTAATTAAATATATTTTTTTAAAATAAAATTTGATTTCGCGTAAATTTGCAAAAGTTACTAAAATAGTGTGTTTTAATAGTTTTTAAAATAAACTGTTACTATTAAATCCTTTGTTAAATTTATTTTTTCCTATAAGTAAGTTTTAATTTTTTCCCTTCTGAATACTAAGTCATCTTATAATGAGCTGTTTTTAACTTAATCTTCTTTTAATTACTTACCTAATTACGAAAAGTCTTAATATCTCATTTGCACTAAAGACTTGTTGCGAATTTTAAATAATATTACTTTGATTAAAAAAAAGTGTTCCTAGCAAAAATTTTTTTTGTTTGAAAATTTTAAACTCGTTGTGAAAGTAATTAATTTCATTTAAACTATAGAAAGGAGAATTTATAATCTCAATGACTTTAAGCTGAATGTTTATATGTGTTTATGTATGTATCTCATAAAAATCCTCAATTTTAAACCGATCCGCACTAAATTTAGAGTATATATGTTAAGACGAACATAACTGTCTATTTTACAATTCTCACCGGTTCCTAAAGAAAGAGTTTTCCATAGAATTTGATAAATATTTTAGAATATAAGTGCTTGTAGCCATGGTGGTTCAGGGGATAAAGCGTTCGCCTTTCAATGAGATGAGCCGGGTTCGAATCCCAGCGATGGCCGGTCAATACGAATTCCGCACCCGGATCGCACCGTCCACAGTGCTGACATAAAAATATCCTCATTGGTCGACGGATCATAGGATAGAGTCCCTTTGCCGTCCGGGTAACCGTGGATGATTTTCGTTGTTTCCTCTCTATGTAACGCAAATGCGGGTTATTTCCATCGAAAAGTATTCCATGAAGGCAAGTGATTCAGTAGCTCCCTTGTTTTCTGGATTGGGTTCAAAACTACAAGACTACGGAGTAACGTATTGGTAGTGTAACGTATCGAGTTATATTAACGAAAAGTTCTGTTTTTTTAAAATTTATTTATTTATTAATTTTTTTTAATAAAAATATTTATTTTACAACCTAAAATACGGTAATGAAATTAAAATTCCAGTAATGAGATAGTAATAACTTTTCAAACAAAAAATAGAGAACCCACAACGGGTTGGTATAAACCTCAAATTCGAAAAACAAAAACTATACTCTAAATATCAACAACTCTCTGTTGTTCTAAAAATTGTCTCCTGCTTCTAATTTTATCGCCTGCTTTTATTTTTTTTATTTATCTCTTTATGTGTTTAGTTCATTTTATTCATGCTTGTGCTAGCCCGTTATTTTTTTTAATATTTTTACTTTTATTCATGCTTTTGCTAGCCAATTATTTTTTTTATATTTTTGACTTTATAGTAGTCATAAACCCAAAATTGGGTCAGATGTTCAACAACGGTTATAAAATAAAATAAATTATGTGTGCTTGCAGCTCTAATTATTCAAAAATTAGTTTTACCGAAATTTTATGAATAATTTATCTTTACTTTCTTAGGTTAAGTTATCACGAGTAAAATTAACGTAAATTTTGGGACTTATCATGCTGATGTCACTGCATTCGCATTTAAAAAAAACAACAACATATACTAAGAACATATATATATAGTATATATATATGTATGTATAAAAATAAACATATAAATAAAATTTAAGTTATTTACTAAGCCATGGGAAAATTGTAAATTCTGAAACAAATAAAAGCAACAAAAATAAATAAATAAATAAAGGTTGCGTATTAGATACCATGAATATATATTATGGGGATAATAGGGTGCTTATCCTTTTCTGAGGGCGGAAAAAACCTATTACCAGAGTACGTATATTAGTCACCTACATTGATATAATAGGTTCTCATTACCACACAGCTATAAGGGCAAACCAGTAGTATTAAAATGTGAGCGAATATTATGTATATTATTATAAACATTATTATAAATGCGAGCAGGCCGAAAAGTTCTGGAGAAATTGAAATTTGAAAAACACCCGAACTATTGGACCGATTTCGGCCAAATTTTTATTTTGCTATTTAAAATTACAGTCTTTAAAATGATGTAAAAAATTAAACCTTACAATTCAAAATTTTTTTAACTGTTATTGAATAAAATAGTAAAAAATATTTACTAAAACTTATATTTTGTATGGAATTATCTTTATATAAAAGAGTTTTATAATTTCGTGCAAAATTTTTTCAATGCGCTTAAGAAATTCTTGAGATATGGCGAAATATGCAGAAAGTGAAATTAACATTAAGTGGTTGAAACTTTGGACATCTTTCTTGACCAAGCTATGAGGACCCTATTTTCCAGATTGTGATTATCCCATATGTTTTGGAGGTCAGAAATCCGAATCCGTCGAAAAAAGGTATTTTTATTCAGAGAAAGTACGTTTTTGTGTCTGATTTCGTTACTTAAAATGTCATCTGCACTTATTAATTAGCATAGTTGAGATCATCCCCTCGAATCTTTAAGATTGAGTCCTAAAACGTGAAGATCCCATTATTAGATCGAAAGTTATTCAGAGTGGTTCCCTTTCATTATTTTGCGCACAGTGCAATTCTTTTCTTTCTTCCTAAGCTTTATCGCAAGACCTAAAAACCTAGACAAAGTAAACAAAGCTCTATCAATATACATCAAACTGTTTATTTGTAAAAAGATTTTAAAAAAAATAAGAAAAAAAGAAGTACTTTTTTAAAAAATTAGTGTTTCTATCTTTCGGATGCCATAAAAATTAATAAATGAAAATGTAGAATTGGGCAGTTGGAAAGTTTTTAATTATTTTCATTTGCGAACTCTTTTAATATCGCACTTAACAAAATTAGAATTCAGGCGCTTAATGATTTGTATCGTTTTTGTTTCTTTGAAGTGGTATTTAACTAATTTTTTTCAACCTTTTATAGATTTTATTTCTTTATTAATTTTATGTCCATGGTATATAAAGAACATTTTCTACATTTTGATTTGACATTAAAAAGTGTCACTTTTTTAAGAATTGAACCATTTAAAAGTGTCACTTTTTTCACATTAAAAATTAGTCCCCCCCCCCTCTTAAAAAAGCTATATCAATATACTAGATGATAAGTTAAAGCAGAAATTTATTTTCTACGAACTATTTTTCTAAAAGGGGTTTAAGTAAACTCTTTTCAACTCTCATTCTAAATGCAATTCTTTTACTGTCAAATTTAAGTTATTTTGTGAAGAAATCGAATGTTTTCTTTTATTAAACAAGAAAAAAAAGATAGTTTTGATCTAGTTTTCTTGTCCTTTTTTTTAGTACACACACTGAATATTGATTTTAATATTGGTCTTAGTATCTCGTTTACTTTTATTCTCAAAGATCACGAAAATTTCAATTTGTTTAATTCTTCACTTACGTGTGAATTTTCGGCAAATGTACTAAAAACAAAATTAATTCTCCGAATTGTTGTACAAAATTCTGTGAGAAACATATCAGCAAACGATCCACTGAGGGAATCATTACTTTCTTTAATCGAATTTCTCATTCTTATGCAATTAAATAGAGCTTGATAAAATTCTTCGATTTTTTTCGCCCATTTCAGGTTTTTTCTCATGGTTGCTAGGTAACGAACTTGTTTAAGAAATTTTTTTTTCTCTGTTAACTCAACTTTCTTTTTAGATCACAAAAGACTGATCTGGCTACATTTTTTTCTGTAACTGTTTTGATTCTTTTTTCTTTTTTAATTTTAACATTTTAAAAACTGTTCTTACAGTTGCCCCACATGCTAAAAACCTTACATAATTTACGTAAAATTTGCTCCAATTCTGTTCCTCTTCCAAATCATTTTAGCTGACCGTGCTATAAAACAGTCATTTGTGCATGATATCGTTCGAAACCTGTTTCGAATTTGCTCCAATTGCACCGGTTGGAATTAACTCACATTTGAAATTAATTGAAAAAATTAGGGAAATCTCAGAAAAAAACACAAATTTTAAAGTTTTTCTTCTTTTTTTTCTTTCCTAAGAAACTCCAATAGTCGTTCCTCCAAAAGTCGAATTTTCGAAGCAACGTAGATATGTGTGTTTGGTTATGTGTTGTTGTATATGCTTAAAGGAGTTATAGTGGTTTTTTTTTAAGTGTTATACGCTCGCTATGTTACTGCGTATGCTTCTACTTGTTGCTTTGAAGAGTTAGAAAAATTTCGGGAATTTTTTTCTCTCCATAAATTAAATATGCAACATGAGTATTTCGTGTTGAAGTTCACTTTCTAAGAATCTATTATGGAAACTCTAAAACGTTTATTGTTAAAGCACTAAAGAGATAGCTTATTACATTTTGTACACATGTGCACATGATGTACAATGAGCAAAAAATTACCGAAACCCCCTGAATAAGTTTTGTTCTAAGATTCGGATTTTCACGTACTAGTACCCATTCTTAATGGTTCAAAAGGATCATCTCAAATATTCAAATTAATTAGTGCAAATGATATTTTAAGTTATGAAATCAGACACAAAAAAAGTACTTACTTTGAATTAAAATACATTATTTTCCTCGAATTATGAA